TGTGGAGTATAAGAACAAAGAAAAACTGAAGGAACAAAACAGCAGCAGAATCACAGAACCCAAGAATGGACTAATAGTTACCAAAGGGAAAGGGAAGGGGAGGATGGGTAGGAAGGAAGAGATAAGGGTGGGAAAAAAGAAAGGGAGCCTTACAATTAGCATGTGTAATATGGGGGGGTGCATGGGGAGGGCTGCACAACACAGAGAAGACAAGTAGTGATTCTACAGCATCTTACTATGCTGATGGACAGTGACTGTAATGGGGTTTGTGGGGGGGACTTGGTGAAGGGGGGAGTCTAGTAAACATAATGTTCTTCATGTAATTGTAGATTAATGATAACAAAATGGAAAAAAATAATGCTTATGCAACATGATACCTTGTAATTTTTTTGACAAGTAAATACCATTCTCTAAAGAAAAAAAGAATTCACTCCAAAACTATGAGTACTAATATCTGAATTCAGCAAAGTTTCATGATACAAAATTAATACACAGAAATCTTTTGCATTCTTATATAATCACGATGAATTAGCAGAAAGAGAAATCAGGAAAACAAATCCAGTCACAACTACATCAACAATAATAAAATACCTAGGAATAAACCTCCCCAAGGAAGTGAAAGACCTATACCCTGAAAACGACACTCTTAAGAGAAACTTAAGAGGAAACTAATAAATGGAAATTCATCCCATGCTCTTAGCTAGGAAGAATTAATATTTTCAAAATGGCCATCCTGCCTAAAACAATCTACAGATTCAATGAATTCCCTATCAAAATACCGACAGCATTCCTCAATGAACTGGAACAAATATTTCTAAAATTCATATGGAACCACCAAAGACCCCGAATATCCAAAGCAATCCTGAGAAGGAAGAATAAAGCAGGGTGGGATCATGCTTCTCAACTTCAAGCTCTACTACAAAGCCACAGTAATCAAGACAATTTGGTACTGGCACAAGAGCAGACACATAGACCAGTGGAAAAGAATAGAGAGTCCAGATATTAACCCAAGCATCATATATGGTCAATTAATATGTGATAAAGGAGCCATGGATATACAATGGGGAAATGACAGCCTCTTCAACAGCCGGTGTTGGCAAAACTGGACAGGTACATGTAAGAGAATGAAACTGGATTACGGTCTAACTCCATACACAAAAGGAAACTTGAAATGGATCAAACACCTGAATGTAAGCCATGAAACCGTAAAAGGGACACATACCCTAGTGATTGTATTAGACACTTCAGTTCAATGTATAATACAGCCATTCAACATTTTGTAAGGAGTGCAGTGAGAAAAGGGGACTAATTAAAAGTTTTTGCCTGTTCTGGTCAGCAGCATTTTTATTCTACTTCCTTTTCCTGGTAGCTGCATGCCTAGAGGACTTCTTTATATACCACAATAGCGAGAGCTGTTCTTCAATACTTCAGAGGCCCCTACTCACTTAATATGAACTGCTATGAATACTGGTATATAGAAAAAGCTATATATGGTAAAGTATATGCAGTGAGTTCTGATATATGCATGTCTCTGGCAATAGCCCGTCTAGTATAAGTAGGGAGATGCTTGCTCTGGTCTGCTTGAAATTTTCTTCTTTGAGTTCCAAATGTTCTTGGTCCTTATGGCTTTGCTTGCACTGAGATTTTCCATACCTTGCTAAGTAGATAATGCTTATTATTAAGATTTGGTCTCAGGTTATGCACTTTCTTGAAGTACATTGTTATGGATTGAGTATTTATTTGTAAATTCATAGACTGAGCATGTAATACTAAAACTCCTTCAAACCAACATACTGTCTCTGCTCTCTCTGCAGGGATCAGCTCTCTGCTGCTCTGACAGCTGCATTCTTTCTTCATACTCTGAAGACAGAAACAGTTTTAACTACCCTAACCCTTTAATGCAAAGAGTGTTATCCTGCAAGGAATTCAAACTGATATGCAATATCCCTCTACCCCACATGAAACCACACTAAGGCTGTGAACACACATTTGCATAGTGCCATAAGAGTTTCTATTTAGCACTATTCTCTAAGCATAGATGCTATGCATCTTGTCATTTAATAACCTTATGGCCAATGGATTTGGATTTTTCTGACATAATTAGAGTGCTAGGGAATATATAGTCATGTCCTTTGTGCTTTAGTTTAGTTCTTTAAACAGGAGAAAAATGGAAGCCATTTTTCCTTAGGTAATAGGGCCTGGAAGAGCCATCATCTCAAATTGGTAAATTTAGCAGCTGGTTAGCCCAAATTCTAATAGTGAAACAAATGAAAGGGTGTGTGCTTAGGAAAGATAAAATCCTCAAATCAAAGTAAATAGCATTCAAGCCCCCTGGATATCAGAGACAAGCCAAATAAGGGTAGCTTTTAATAGAGATTATTCAAATAGAGTACACTTGCACTGAAGGCCCTAAAAGTCATGCAAAGGGTTTCATCTGGAAGAATCAGTAGGCAATAAAATCCAAGGACAATATAAAGTGAGAGCTCTGAAGGCAAGACTGTTGAGGTTTGAATCTGTTTTATCCATAACTAGCTGTGTGTTCTTTGCCAAGTCACTTATCCTCTTAATGCTTCTTTATGTGTAAACTAGGGGAAAAATAATACCTACTTCATTTTACTATTTTGAACATGTAATATATTAGTACACATAAAGCACTTATAGAAGAACTGGACTCTTAGTAGCCAATAAATTTTAGATGTTAGAATTGTCTTTATTGTAATTATCATGTCAGCATAATGATTATATTCCAAAACCAGTAATAAGGCATTGTAGGGGAAATGGAAGGTCCATGGCCAGGGTCCTCAACTGATCCTAATCTACTCACCCACTGTGAAAGTGCAATGATGTAATACTTAGCTTGCTGTACAGGCTCATGCTTGCACATGTGTTGGCAAAAAGCCATTATTGCCTGTGCTGCTATATAAAAAGCTTTACGCAGTGCTCAGCAGAGAATCTGGAGTAGAGGCAGAACCTGGAGCTGAGGCAGAGACAGAGACAGGCTTGCTGCATGCAGGCTTGCCAGATGCAGACGTGATCCTAATGCTCAACCTGCTGATACCAGGGTTCATGGAGTTGAATAATGAACTTTGTGAACCAACAAGGTAGGAGATTTACAGAGATAGTTTTATGCAGGATAAGAGAAAGTATGGAACTCCCAACAGGTGCAGGGAGGGGCAAAGGCTGCCGCATGGGGTCTCAGTGTCTAGGGTTTTATGCCTGTTGCAGTGGGAGCTTTTAGTTTCCTATAGGTTCAGCCAGAATGCTAGCTGTGTTTTAACCTGTCTCATTAAAGGTTACCAGGTTACCCTATTGTAAACTAATGTGCCTACAGGACTATGGTCAGCAAGCTGTTCCATATCACTGTGTCCTGTTGGGGGGGCTACGTTGTTACATTGTTTCAACCTTAAACACCCTGTTATTCCTGTACATTCCTGAAGCCTCAGTAGGACTTTGTCCTTTTCCAGGGCCCACACTCTACTCTAACTGGGCAGGGAGTATTCCCTCCTGCTTCCTTATCTCACTGCTATCATGAGAATAAAGCTTGGCATAAATCCTCTTACCCCCAATGTTCTGCTGTTGTTCAGTCTCACCAAAAGTAGAGTGAACTTGCCTGGAACTGGGAAAGCCCTCTGGCCTAGAGCTACAGGGGTGGAAAAAATAACATATATTATAAAGTAGCAATATGTAAAATAATATGAGATCAACACAAAAATAGTTCAATGGATAGCATAGAAGGCCTAGATATTTTGGTATTTGATAATTGAAGCATTTTATATCAATGAGTAAAGAATGATTTAGTCAATTGACAGGGCTGACTAACTGGCTAACTATATGTAAACAAAAACAAATTTAGGTCTCTATTTCACAAAATGTACCAAAATAAATAACAGATGACATAAAGAGTCAGATATAATTAATGAAGAGTGGGAAAAAGCCTATACCTAGGCATATGTGAATTTGTATTTGATTCAGGGTGGAAAAGGTATATTTCCTACTCCAAAATTCTGGAGTCCCTAAGACCACCCTTACTTCTGATATCCACTGCCAGTTCGGAGCTCCCCAAGACTACTATCAGGTTCAATAATATGCAAAGACTCCAAGAACTTCAAAAAGCTTTTATAGTCACAGTTATAGTTTATTACAGTGAACATTTACCAATTAAAAGCAGCAATAAGAAAAGTCTCATAGGGTAGGATCCAGGAGAATTCCATGTGTTAGTTTTTCATTATCTTCTCCCAGTATGGTCCTGTGGACATTGATAACATCTCCTAGAAATAATATGTGACAATATGTATGAAGCACTACCAATCAGGGAAGCTCACCCAAGCCTTGGCATTCAGACACAGACATGGTTGACTACCTACATGGATACCTCAATCTTTGACCCCTCCAGAGATTGCATTGATACCACCTGGCCTGAACCCACAACCCCAACAATAAATCACATTATTAGTATAGACTATCTGGCATGGCCCAAGGCTTTCAGATAAGCAAAGATATTCTTATCAAGCAGGACAATTCCAAGGACTTAGAGGTTACCTCCCAGGAGTAAAGATTAAACCTTGCTTAGTGCAAACCTTTATCTGTACAAGGTTAATCTTTTATTATACATCTAAGTAAAACAAAACAAACTGCACAATAGACTGCATTATATTTGGGTACATAGAAATTTTAAATTTCTATATATTTAATGATATGCAGTAAGAAAACAAAACCAAATTAAACTAACTGAAACATATACTTGCATCAGATATGGCAGATAAAATGTGAACATTCTCAATACATAAAATCTTCTTACAAATAAAGGAAAAGATGAATGACCTAATAATAATAATAATAATAAAAATAGCTAACATTTAATAAACTATGTGATACCCACTGTTTTGAAAGTTTTACATATCATCATTCATTTAAACCTCAAAAACCACTATCTCTTTCTCATATATGATGAATGGGAGGGAAAGAAGAGTGCTTTTTATAAAATGATTTTCTGAGTAACAAACGGGAAATTCATAACAATGAAAATAAATGGCTACTAAATATGACAAAATGTTCAAAGAAATGCAAAATGAAGAAAATTATAATCAGAAAATATTTGTTTTCAATTAGATACATAATGATGGAAACTTTGGTATGCTTAATCTTGGTAAGGATTTGATGAAATAGGCCTTTCACAGAAAATTGAAAGGAATATAGTGATAACATTAGAATGTAATTTCACAAAACATAACAAATGTTATAGATAAATATACCCAATGTCTCAGCAATTTCACTTACAGATATTAAGCTTAAGGAGATAATCAGAAATGTAAATATTTGTGTACAAGGATATTCATTGAAGAATCTTGGAAAACACTGAAAAGCTAGAGAGAAACTAATTGATCAGCAGTTGGGGCCATTTCACACAGCTATACTCCAGAAAACTTTGCAGCCAATAATCACGTCTTTATATGTGAAATCACATACATATAATATTTAATAAGAAAGAGCAGGATGAAAAAGGATATACATTGCATGATCCTAATTTTGTAGTATACATTCATACACATACATAAACATATACACATATATGCAACTATATAATTATTACTGCTAATGTAACATATACATAGAATAAAGACTGGATACAGATGCATTAAATGCTAACAATGTGATCCCCAGGTGGTAAAATTGCAGGTGAGATCTGAGCACATTTCTGTTTTCCCCAAATTTTTTGAAATAAACCCATATTACCTTTATAATGAGAAAAATATGATATTAAAAATAAAACAAATAGCAAACCTGGTAACTCTTTGGATTCAACCATTTGATGCCAAGGACAAAAAGAATAGTCTGTATCTAGTAAAGTGGCATAAGCTATGGTGTATTAAAAAGAAAACATTCATCAATTTATGGAATAAAAGCAAACCCCATTATAGTCATCTTCATGAATAAAAGAAACACAATTAGGAGTAGTATCTCTGCAGATTTCCCTCTCATTTTCTGGTGTAACCACAAAGTTGCACTGTTAAATACTACTAAACATATTAATATATTTCTGTTAAGCTTTTATATTTGCACATGTAAATTAATTTTGATTTTAACAATGTCTTATCAAAATTGAAATTTTACTGAATATGCTTTTGTGGATTGCATTTTCATATGTAATACTATCAATATTTTCCCACTGATATTTTCCCATGACCTGAAATATTTTTAAATGATTGATTTACTATGACTGCATAATTTTTAAACATTTGGATTTAAATATTTAGGTGGTTTTCTTAACTGTGTATTGAAATTTAAACTGCCTTTGATCATTCCTATAGATTATAACGGAGAATGGTGAATGTGTATTTGAGATGTGACAGAAATGGAAGTACAAGGGATGATGTCAAAACTCTTTTCCATCATCAGGTACACACTTTCTTGTGTTGTAGGATGTAACCTAGCCTATGAGTGCCTCTACAATCAGATTTCATCTTCTTAATGCCCTCCTTTAAAATACTAATATCAGATAGGCAAGTCAGGAGCCACTAATTTTTCACTCAATAATTTTAGCATATGCTTTTCTACAAAACAGGCTAGCCTGGAATACCTTGTGAACTTGGGCAAGAAAAGTGAGTGAAAAAAGGAAAGGAAATGACTCTGGGAGAGTGTCAGGTAACCTAACTACTTCATACATTTTACTAAGGTTGGTCCTGTTTATTGACCTTCTACACATATCTTGGTTTTGATGCCGGGTTCTTGTTTGCAGAGTCAAAGAATGAACTTAGCAAACACCAAAGGTAGGAGAGCCAGGGAAAAGGCTTTTATTTAGAAATAAAGTGATAGGAAAGAGCGCCTGGCTCAGGCCAGGAAGGGGCAAGAGAGCCCAGGGTGGTGCATTGTCTAGGGAATTTATAAACAGTTGAGGATTTGGGGAAACTGATAAAGGGCTTAGTGTGTGGACTTGTTAAAAGTGGCCTTAGGGTGTTTGTCCTTGATGAGATATTATAGCATGCTAAAGTGAATCTTACATGTGATTACAAACAATTAGCATAATAAAAAAACATGGGCTATTTTCCTTTATCTGGGAAGTATCAACTGATCTCACTGAAGAATGACTCTAGAGCTTAATGTTTAACACAGAGTTTTGGTAGGGGGTTTCCTTGCATGTAGTTACATTGCTCTGACTGCAAATATCTTGCCTTGCTTTTTCCAGAGGCTCTCTCCCTATTCTGACTACACCCATGGTCCCTATCTCAGTTTGATTCCCCTTGGGCTAAAGAAGAGTCATGTGATAGGGCCACAGAGAGGAGGGGAATATTTTGCACTATCAGCCTTGATATTTGCTTAATGCAAGCAGTGAGTAACCCTGCAATCTTAATCTTTCTTTCCTTACACCCATGCCTTGTCAATTTTTGAGACTTAGAGGGGTGAAATAAGACTAAAAAAATTGCCTTCGATATTCCATTCCCTACTTTTCAAAAAAGCAGTATCTTATTAAAGAAACGTTATCCAGTAGATTAATTGTACAGTCTACTTTTTGAACTTTGAATAGTTTTAAAAATACTCATTTCTGAAAAATACTTTTTTATGTCCATCCTTATTGCTTTTCTGTGAAACTAGATAAAAACATTCTAATGTTAAACCATTATTGATTCATCTTATTTTATTAAATAAAAGAAAAGTTGGAAGGTCCCCTCTTTTGTCAAAAAGTCCTACCTACATTCTTGCGAAGTAACACTGTCAGAAATCATCTTTAGGGTCCAGCCTAGTGACAATTTTTCTTGCTAGTATTTTGTGTGCAGGCATGTTGGAAGCATTCCGGCAGTAAACTTGCAGCATCATTTCCCTATATAAAAGGTCAGAGAATAACAGTCTTTTTAATTGTGGTTTGACTTTTAAAATAAATCCATTTTGTTTGCCACTTAACAACCTGAAATCCTCTAGGTGTTTGTACATTGATTTTTTTAATCAATTGGTCAGGAGTCTTTGTAAGTATGAAAGATGGACTGATATTCATCTTCAGTACCTATTTAGACCACTGTTCTAACATGAAACACATAATCCTTTTTCTTGCCTCCTGAAATCCAAGTAGCCCTCTAGTGTTCCTTGTTATATAAAGTCAAAAGACTTCAATATCTAGTTCCATTTTTGCATTTGGGTTTAAATGTTTTGATTTATTGTTTGTGCTTTAGTCAATATTAGTGGTTGAATTCAGTTTCAATTTGATTATATCTGTGAGCTTCTTTTGCATTTCATTTAGATGCCACAGATCAGGTTTTTTGTAGTAATAACCATTTTCTTGAAGGCTTATTCATTCCTTGTTTTTTTTCGTATTTTTTAATTTTGCTGTCATTAATGTACAATTACATGAACAACATTATGGTTACTAGGCTCCCCCTATTATCAAGTCCCCACCACATACCCCTTTACAGTCACTGTCCATCAGCACAGTAAGATGCTGTAGCATCACTACTTGTCTTCTCTGTGTTATGCTGCCTTTCCCATGTTCTTGGCCCCTACATTATACATGCTAATCATAATGCCCCTTTTCCCCCTTATCCCTCCCTTCCCACCCATCCTCCCTAGTCGCTTTCCCTTTGGTAACTGTTAGTCCATTCTTGGGTTCTGTGAGTCTACTGTTGTTTTGTTCCTTCAGTTTTTTCATTGTTCTTAGACTCCACAGATGAGTGAAATCACTTGATACTTGTCTTTCTCCGCCTGGCTTATTTCACTGAGCATAATACCCTCTAGCTCCATCCATGTTGTTGCAAATGGTAGGATTTGTTTTCTTCTTATGGCTGAATAGTATTCCTTTGTGTATATGTCCACATCTTCTTTATCCATTCATCTACTGATGGACACTTAGGATGCTTCCATTTCTTGACTATTGTAAATAGTGCTGTGATAAACATAGGTGTGCATCTGTCTTTTTCAGACTGGGCTGCTGCATTCTTAGGGAAAATTCCTAGGAGTGGAATTCCTGGGTCAAATGGTATTTCTATTTTTAGTTTTTTGAGGGACCTCCATGCTGCTTCTTATAATGGTTGAACTACTTTACATTCCCACCAGCAGTGAAGGAGGGTTTCCCTTTCTCCACATCCTCACCAACAGTTGTTGTTGTTTGTCTTTTGGATGGTGGCTATCCTAAGTGGTGTGAGGTGATATCTCATTGTGGTCTTAATTTGCATTTCTCTGCTGATTAGTGATGTGGAGCATCTTTTCATGTGCTTGTTGGCCGTCTAAATTTCATCTTTGGAGAACTGTCTATTCAACTCCTCTGCTGATTTTTTAATTGGCTCATTTGCTTTTTGATTGTTGAGGTGCATGAACTCTTTATATAATTTGGATATCAACCCCTTATCAGATGTGTCATTTATAAATATATTCTCCCATACTGTAGGATGTCTTTTTGTTCTACTGATGGTGTCCTTTGCTGTACAGAAGCTTTTTAGTTTGATATAGTCCCACTTGTTCATTTTTGCTTTTGTTTCCCTTGCCTGGGGAAATATGTTCATGAAGAAGTTGTTCATGTTTAGTCGAGAGAGATTTTTGCCTATGTTTTTATCTTAGAGTTTTATGGTTTCATGACTTATATTCAGGTCTTTGATCCATTTTGAGTTTACTTTTGTGTATGGGGTTGAACAATAATCCAGTTTCATTCTCTTACATGTAGCTGTCCAGTTTTGCCAACACCAGCTGTTGAAGAGGCTGTTATTTCTCCATTGTATATCCATGGCTTCTTTATTGTCTATTAATTGACCATGTATGCTTGGGTTTATATCTGAGCTCTCTAGTGTGTTCCATTGTTCTATGGGTCTGTTCTTGTGCCAGTACCAAATTGTCTTGATTACTGTAGCTTTGTAGTAGAGCTTGAAGTCAGGGAGCATAATTTCCTCTGCTTTATTCTTTCTTCTCAGGATTGCTTTGGCTATTTGGGGTCTTTTGTGGTTCCATATGAATTTTATAACTATTTGCTCTAGTTCATTGAAGAATGCTGTTGGTAGTTTGATAGGGATTGCATTGAATCTGTAGATTGCTTTAGGCAGGATGGCCATTTTGGCAATATTACTTCTTCTATCCATGAGCATGGGATGTGTTTTCATTTATTGGTATCTTCTTTAATTTCTCTCATGAGTGTCTTGTAGTTTTCAGGGTATAGGTCTTTCACTTCCTTGGTTAGGTTTATTCCTAGCTATTTTATTCTTTGATGTAATTGTGAATGGAACTGTTTTCCTGATTTCTCTTTCTGCTAGTTCATCATTAGTATGTAGGAATACAACAGATTTCTGTGTATCAATTTTGTATCCCTTAACTTTGCTGAATTCAGATATTAGATCTAATAGTTTTGGGGTGGATTCTTTAGGGTTTTTTATATGCAATATCATGTCATCTGCAAACAGGGACATTTTGACTTCTTCCTTACCAATCTGGATGCCTTTTATTTCTTTGTGTCTTCTGATTGTCATGGCTAGGACCTCCAGAACTATGTTGAATAAAAGTTATTCATTCCTTGTTGTGTAATTGTGTCAGGTTAGCATTCTTGAAGTACTAACATTATGTAATTGTTTTCTTCTCTAATTCTGCTGTTTCTTAGGTGGACATTCAACTTCCATTGCTTAGGAAAATGGACTATATAAGCAGATGGAATGAAGATAGAAAAAAAAAGAGGCAACACCCAAGTTTTTGAGTTTTAAAACCCTAGGCTCTAATAGGATTCAAGTCACAGAAGATTAAGATTGCTAATCTGCTATTCATATGTCCATATCAGAAAAGATTTCTGAGAACAGGGCAAAGGTCAGAGCGAAAGACAGAGAAATTTTCCTTGAGATGGAACTTTTATCCCTAGTATTCCTCAGGTTAATTTTGTATCAGCATGAGAGATAAATGATCAAAACTCTATGTAGATTTGTGGAGTTTAAGAGCAGACGAAATATATGTAACTATTCTCAGTTAAATTCTAAAAAGATACCAAGACACCAACATTTCATATGATTTACATTGCCTAAGAGGAGTAGTGTACTTTCCCCAATCTTTTCTTTCCAGTGCATACATTAATAAAAGAAAAGATGGGCATAAAAATAGGAAAGGAAAGTACAAAATTGTCACTATTTGCAAACAATAAGATCTTTTATCTAGAAAGTTCAAGAGCATTAACTAACAGCTATTATAATTAATAAGAGAGTTCATCATTTTGGCCAGTATTAAGATCATTAACTTTCAGTTTTATTTCCAGATACCATCAAAGCAAAGTTAAATAGAAAATAAAAAGATCACATTTGCAAACAGAACCAAAAAACCACCAAAATAAATTGTAAAGCATAAATGGAGGGAACTATAGAATACTGAACACCAGCATACCAAAGCACCTATTACTGAAGTCCCAGATTATGATGGCCTAACTTTATGCAAAATTTTAATATGAAAAGAGCATTTAAATATCACTTTAAGACTGAATAAATGGAAGAACCAATATTTTAGGATATGTATCTATCTTTTCTTTTCAATTATTTGTTTTGTAAGAGATGATCTACAGATTAAGAGTTGATGAACTTTTTACATAAAGGGCCAGATAGTAAATATTTTAGGCTTTGTGGGCCACACAGTCTCAGTTGCAGTTACTCATCTTTAATGTTAAGGTGCTAAAGCTGCAATAGACCTGTGAGCATGGGTGTGTTCATTCCAATAGAAGTTTATTTACGAGAAACAGCAGGCTAGAATGAGCCCATAGGTCACAGTTTGTCAATCCTTGCTATAATGCCTTTGAACATTTTTCTCTCTTCTTAAGAAACAAAAACTCAGTACTTCCTCAGTGCATACAAATTTATGTCCAAACTACTGGGAATGATATTCAAATCCCATCACACTGTTTCCAACTCCTTTACCCATTTTGTTCCTCAGTACTCTCCTTCCTTTTAATCCCCTCTCTACTCCTATGTACTATATCCATTACACTTGAACTCTTAAATTTTTGACTTGGTGCAAATAGTGCCTGAATGTTCCTTTAACTCATTCATTCTGTCATACATTTAGGAAATATTTACTGTGTATTTTTTATATGCTAGGCACTTTGTTAGAATACTGAAGATACAGTGGGAAAAAAAAGGTAATATTTCCCCTCCCTTCAAAAAGTTTATGTTTTAGTCTAGCATACAGATGAGTAACTGCTTTAGGGCTTCATATGAAAAATTTAATCATAGCACAACAAACGGTATTTGGGAACATAAAGCTGAAGAATAAAAGGTTTGATCCTATATTTCAATTGAATAGATGTTAGACTTTATTCTTTCGACACATGAATATTTTGGCTTCAAGTTTAAAAGTCTTACAGTTTTAATCAAAATCATATCTACATGCACGAATTTTAGAAAAGAAAGTGATTTCAAAAATAAAGTTCATTTAACCATGTCAAGACCTTGATATGTTGTTTATATAGTGAAAATTAAACTATGTACAGTTTTAGCCTTTGTTGTTGGTATTCAGTTTTGATTTCTACCAAGTTTAATTTTTCATGGATCAATATTTGAAGTTTTAACTTTAGTTTCTATTCAATAATAATTTTTTTTCTGAAAAATAACTATTTTATCTCTTTGTATTAATAGTCCCAGTAATATTCATTATGAATATTTATAAATTATATTTCTTAAGGCTGAGAGCATGAACAGTGGAAGCCAAACAACCATAGCACTAAATGACACGGCCAAACCTTTCCCAATAAGTGGCTTCCAAACTGAGACCTGAGGATGAGCAAGAGTTTGCCAGGTAAAGGGCATGGGGATTGGGCTTAGGGCACATAGACAAAGTGTTCCAATCAAAGAGACTCAGAGATGAAGGAAAGCATGATGTGTTATAAATTTCTGCTATTGCAGTTTTGTTTGTATTTTTTCTTCTACTTTTAATTTTCTTCCTCTTTCCTGTCTGTTGAGACCCTTAGCCCTTTATAAAACTATTTCCCCTGGTATTATTTTTATATTTGGAAGACTTGACAACTTTGTATTTGTCTATTGCAGGCATTACATGCAAAGATGTTCATGGTAACTTCATAAGCTAAAGTAGATATTTGAAATATGCTTAACATAGATAAGAGTAATTAGAGAGCATAAGCTGATCTGCCATGATTCTAGTAAATTGTTAATAAGTAAACACAAGCAGGATAGTCATACCATATGCAATATTTAATTTTTAATTTGTATGTGTCTCTTGCTCTAAAGAAATATAAGCAAACTTAAGTTTTTACTTTTGTATAGAAGGTTTTGAGTTATATGAACTTTGCTATACCATTTCATCTCATAAAAGTGAAGTTGAATAAATATGGCATTCTTATCCTTCTGCTTAGTGGTTGAATAATTTAGTGATCACAAATATTTTCTTTAAACAAGAATATAAGGACTATACCAGTTCAATCTGAAGCTAATCTTATATTTCACTGAATTTGGCACTGTTAATAGGATTGTAGTACAAATAAATGAATATCAAAATATGTTAAAATTCATTATTGTCCAAAGCATATCTGCATATTGTTTAGTTGTAATTTAACTAAATAGGAGATGATATGTGTGGAAATTTTGTGACAGGAGATATTTTCTATAAAAAACAGATATTATTTTATGATGTGCTCAAATAGCATAAAACATTCATCTTTTTCTACAGTTTTTTTAAAAAGCCAAATAAGGCTATAAGTTCATATATATATATAAGAAGGTTATGTTTAATTAATAAAAGCAGGGTCATAAACGTCTTGTTCTTTTTAGCTTTTGTTACCCTTTAAAAACAGATTAAGTTGAAATAAGGTGTTTTGCTTTGATATCCTCTGAACTTGACCACCATGCCTAAAGGCTGTATGTAGCACTCTTAGAAAATCCAGTGATTTAAATAGTCCAATGATTTACCCTTTAGTAATGTTCTTCCCTAAACTGTAGATTTAATAAATGACTCTATAGCTTGCTTTGCTATCAGATGACTTCTGTGCACATCCAGAGGACATTGCTTACTCTGCAACAACTCGTTTTCACATTATATTATAAGATTCCATGGTGTACACCTGAGTCCAAACATGGTATTCTCTTCAGTTGATATCACTAGTCCCAGATGTCTTGACTTAATTCAATTTCACAACTATCCTCTGAAGAGAGAATATTAAAGCAATAGAGCTAGATAGCAATGAAGTTCACAAATAGAACCATACCACTTTAGTTGTCAATTATATTTCCTCATGAATGAGTTTTTGAGTTGTGGCCCAATTTAAAATTACAAACATCTTGGCCCACATGACCGTCATGAAACACTTAATAGTTTCTCATTTCCTTAAGAAGGAACACAATACTGGTTATATTTATGTACTAAAGAGAGTCTCCAGTTAAGATCACCACTGAAGACAGATTTTTAGTGAACTTTGTCATCTCTTATTTATTTTAAAAACATTTTTCTTTTCTTCTTGAAGTAGTCTTTGAAGCCTGGAGCTCAACATTTTCTATGCAGATTCGCTGCAGTATCTTCCTTGCAGGGTTGCTGGTATTCTTGCTTCTGATTAAAATTCATGTTTTCTTTAAATAGCATGAAATATACTTCTCCAGACCTCTTTGGCCTTGGTCAGGAATGTATAACTGAAAAGTTTTCAGACAGGAGACTGGTAATTAGGCACAGCTTGAAAGCCAATCAAACGCAGTCTACTTTTGCTCCTAGGGAGAGCCTAGTGATTGCCATTGCAGTGAAAGAATCTCAGATTTGGGTCTGCAGAACTTGCCTAGCTCTCATTATTATCAAACCACAAAAATAATTAGTAGCTAGAGCTCATGGATTTCATTCATGAAATCTTTTGAGCAAAACACATATTCTCAACTAAATACAAAGGAGTGTAGCTTAGCAATAAAGGTTAACTGCCTGAAATTCTGATATGATCAGTGCCATATGTCATTTAGATTTCTAGAATGTCTCCTAATACTAAGTGCTGAGTTTCATTTCTTTCTTTTTTTGTCTTTTTGTCTCCTACTTTTTTGTCTTTCAGCACATCCCATAATAGAGTGAAATGTATTTCAATACATTTCAGTTACCATTATTTCACATTTTGTCCCAAACATGCACATTTTTTTTTCCTTGGAGGAAATGCCTTTGGGAAGAGATATATTAAAAACTTCCTAATCTCTAAATCAGATGGCATGATTGGACTTTCTTGATGTATATTAGTTAAATTTTCACTAATATATATGTATACTTACAACGTTATAAAAGATGTCATCATCACTGTAGCTTATAAATGTCACAAATAGTTTAATTTCTTAAAAAGAATATCCATGTTCATATAATCAGATAAAAATTAAATATCAAAGTGCTACTAACTTGTCTCTGTATAATTTATGCAAACTTCCATTTGCAAGAAGTTGGTCTTCTTTGTCCAATACTTGAAACTTAGTTCAACAAGTATTCTTAGAATACCTTATGAAAGGAATGTAAAGACAAAAAAGAAAAATAACTGTCACAAAGTTTAATGAGGCCCCTAAACTCTATACAAAGCTTTGCTATTAAGATTCAGAAGATAGAGAAAGCATATCCAGTTAGGGTAGTAGAAAAGTTTCATTTAAGATGAATTTTGCAGGATGCACAGGACATGTAGAAATAGACATTTCACAAACAGGGAAAACATTAGAGGGGTGAAACCATAGTGAATGGTCAGCAACATTATGTGGTAAAGTTTTGGGAATAGATTATTGGAAGTACATTGGGACCACCTTGTTTCAGATTATGAATGCTGGAGTTAGAAATGTGTACCAGCTGAGAAGGATCTGGGAAAGCATTGAAAATGTTTGTTTTATTTACAAAAATGAAGAAATGTTTTCCAACTGTATTTTGGTACAATTATTCTGCAAGTAATGGATAAAGCTGATTGACAAAGGCTCCAAATGAAGGAGCCAGTAGGCAAGCCAAGGCAATAGTTCAGTCAAGAGATAAAGAGCACATGAAATAGAGTGGTTGTGGTGGGATTGGAAGGAGGGGGTATAATTGAGAAAATGGGGGTTGTAGAAACTAAAGGGTCTGATAATGGATTGGCTGTAGGAGATGATAAAAAGGGAGAAATAAAATGATTCATGAGTCCAGGAAAATAGTGGACTCATAAAAAAGAAAAAAAGAAAGAAAGCTAGAGGGGAGGCTTGGAGGAGGCATACTGAAGGATTAATTTCTGTTTTCAACAAGTACTAGGCTTACATATATATGGTAGACCTACTAGCAAAACCATTTCAAACAACTAACCATCCTTAAAGAAGGACACTTCAGTAAGGGAATAAAAAGTTACAGTTAAATATTTTTGTGGTTGAATGATCTTTTGAAAATTTGATGGTTTTTACTGATAATTCTGGCCAAGAAAATGAATTGGGTTAGAGAGTGAAACTTCTCAAGTAAAGCTCAATGCTGACTTCCAGGAACTGTACTTTATGCTTTGACAGAGTCTGTTTTAATGGAATGCCTAGATAGATTTATATTTTAACAAAATGTAATGAAATTGCTTAAGCCTTCATTATCTGAACAGAACTGTGATTCATGTTGGCAACTCACTAAGAGTTAGAAGACAGAGAAATAGCAACCAGGACGAAGGCTATTTAATTTTACAGTTTATAGTATGAGAATGTACAGATAATAATGATGATAACTTCTTTTAAAGCCAACTAGCTAATAAGGCAGAGTCTGGAATCAGATTATTGGGTTTAAATTTCTAGCTCTGTCATTTATTATGTGTGACCTTGGGCAATTTTTAGTTAACCTCCCTGAATCTCAGTTTCTTTATCTGTACAATGAAAATAATAGTAGTAACTACCTCATATGTGGTATTGTTACAATTAAATGAGACAATACATGTAAAGCAAGCATCAGTAACACTCTAGAAACATTTGGTTCTAGATGTGAATGTAGGTACTAGTGCTATGCATGTGTTTCTCTATACAGATTTTATGTCCTGAGAAGGAACTAATCAATTTCCATCAGTTCCATAGGATACAGAAAAACCCAGTTAACGTGGTCTTCATGTTACTGTTGCCAGGCAGCTGCATCTGGGGAGGTCTCTCCCTGCACACTAGGTGAAGCACTGGGAGAAACCTCAACCTGGATGGGGGAGGGTTCTTGACTCCAAACAAGGAAGAATTCTCCAGGAGGTCAGAAGAGTGGAGGTAAGGAAGGAATTCATTAGAGCAAGAGCAGCAGGGAAGGGCAGCTGCCTGGCAGGCAGCAGAGAACAGGGAGTTGCAGAGAAAGAGGGAAAGTTCTCTGCCTAGGGCAGATTCCGTTGCCAACTCCTGAAGCTAGGGTCACCTGGCATCCTGTGTCCACATGGATCTACACAGCATGAGGACTAGCCCCTACTACTCCAGATTTGGGGAGCCACGGAGCACAGGATGGAGTGATATTATGTTCTGAGAACTTCCCAAAGAAAGGGGATTTTCAAGCAGGCTACTAAGAGCAGTTTACACAGCTGCAGTTTTGACTGGGTCATCCAGGCAATGGAAACATGCAGACCCAAATCTGAGCTCTTAGCAGCCCCTAGCTACTTATTAGGAGTAAAGCAGAAATGAGTGAAGACTTGGAAATAAAATCAAATAGCGAAGAGACATAAAGCAAGTATCTGAGCAGTGAGAAAGCTTTATTTGAAAGTACACCCTTAAAGAAAGGAAAGTGTGGTGCCCTCAGAGAGGAGGTGTGTTGAAAGTTTGGGGATTCTGTCTTTTAAGGATTTTAAGAAGGGGGAAAAGGGCAGAGGGGAGGTTGTTGGGCGTAGG